CCAGCAGCACAGAGGTGGCCTCCACCACTGCAGCATCTGGGGTGGCTGCTACCACCCAGGGAAGAGCCATCACTACTGTCACTCAGTCTACACCAGCCCCCGGACCCTCAGTACCTGTAAGAAAAACACACTACCTCTCAGCTTTGAAACCTGGTCTCAACACCACTCAAGTCTTTGTTTGTTTTTTTCCCCATGTTAATCAGACCCAGATGTCCAAATTAAGTTTGCATTTCTGCTGACTCAGCTTTTTTTTTGTCTCTCTTTACAATGTGCATATCTTTGTCTTTCCCCCTTTTTAGTCGATTTCATCAATCACAGAAGGAGTGAGCACAGCTGCCAGCTCCACAGAGGAGCCCATGCAAACTGATGAGGCCGCTTCAGCAGAAGCAGCGCCTGCTGAGGAGGCAGCTACCGCCATGGAGACACAGGCCGAGGTGAGTGCAAGGGATACACATGCCCTGCATTCGTAAAATTCCCTCCAGCTGTGCAATTGAACAGGCACATGATGGATCCTCTCCACTGCGTTCTCCTCCAGGGGGAGACGGCAGCTACAACAGCCTTGAACCTGCCCTCGGAGCTGATGTCCGAGGGCCAGGGGGCCACGCTCATGGTGACGGGGCTGTCGGACGAGGAGCTGGCTGTGACCGCCGCGGCGGAAGCCGCCGCCCAGGCGGCCGCCACCGAGGAGGCCCAGGCCCTGGCCATCCAGGCCGTGCTCCAGGCAGCTCAGCAGGCCGTCATGAGTGAGTGCATTAAAAGCAGAGCAAGCGGCGCTTTTGTTTGACGGTGTGGGCCGGGTGCACTCGTGATTAACGTATTTTTCCCGTCGGTTTGCAGATGAGAGCGACGCGGCAGGAGACAGCCAGCAACCCACCAACATCCCCATCATGCTGACCCAGCAGGAGCTGGCCGCGCTGGTCCAGCAGCAGCAGCAGCTGCAGGAGGCCCAGGCCGCCGCCCAGCAGGCCTCCGTGGAGGCAAACCTGCCCACCGAGGGCCTGGCGCCCGCCGACAGCCTCAACGACCCCTCCGTGGAGAGCAACGGACACAACGAAATGGCTGCCTCGGTCACCGCTGTGGCGTCCCTCCTTCCCCGTACCACCGCCGAGAGTAAGCCTGCGCTCACGCTCCAGTAGTTACCGGGTCGTTATTTTAGAGATTGTTCTACTCACTGCTTTTGTGTCGCCCTTTCCTACATCCAGCGCTCGCCCCGTCGAGTACATTCGCTCCATCCGTGTCTGTGGCCAGTCCAGCCAAGCTGCAGGCCGCCGCCACTCTGGCAGAGGTGGCCAACGGCATCGAAGGAGAGGTGAGTCAGCGTGCCACTGATCCGGGTGGTTGGGAAGCTTTTTTTAATAGCTTAATAGGTATACATACTGACAGTTTATCGTCTCCATACAGAAACAGGCCCCCCAGCCAACTCCAGTGAAGCCTGTTGTAAAGAAGGAGAACCAGTGGTTCGATGTGGGAATTGTAAAAGTCACAAATATGGTCGTCACTCACTTCTACGTGCCAGCGGATGATTCTCACGGAGACGTAAGTGTCCGAAGCCAGACGTAAATGCACACACACCTCTGCAATGCAGCGCTCGGGTCGCCTGACGGCCATTGTGCCTGTGCGTTTGCTCTGTAGGACGACTCTGGCATCATGCCAGACTACGGCCAGATGAAGAAAATGGAGCTGCAGCCCGGAACGGCCTACAAGTTCCGCGTTGCTGGAATCAACGCTTGCGGCCGCGGGGCCTTCTCGGAGATCTCCGCTTTCAAGACTTGCCTACCAGGCTTCCCGGGGGCACCTTGCGCCATCAAAATCAGCAAGGTAAACCCCCCCCTTCTGCCCGCACCGCGCTCGCGGGAGACATTAAGTGTCGGCATGGCGCCCTGAGTCCTTTTTTCCCGCTCTCCTCCTCAGAGCCCAGATGGTGCTCACCTGACCTGGGAGCCCCCCTCCGTGACGTCGGGGAAGATCATCGAGTACTCGGTGTACCTGGCCATCCAGAGTAACCAGACGGCCGAGGCCAAGGCCTCCACCCCGGCGCAGTTAGCTTTCATGCGGGTGTACTGCGGGCCCAACCCCTCCTGCCTGGTGCAGTCGTCCAGCCTCTCCAACGCTCACATCGACTACACCACCAAGCCGGCCATCATCTTCCGCATTGCCGCCCGCAACGAGAAGGGCTACGGCCCCGCCACCCAAGTCCGATGGCTGCAGGGTGAGCGCGCACGTCTCCGCCGCAGCTGCTCAACGGGAGGAAACGCCCGGGAAACAAACCCATTGTAAATGTTTCTGTCATTCACAGAGTCCGGTAAAGACGGTGCCTCTGCTAAACCTGCCCCAAAAAGACCAGGCACCTCCCCTGATACGTACGTACTCACCTGATATGTGCACGTCTCACACATGTGATGATTGCACTGCCACTTATTCTGACTTTTTTTAAAACTTTTTTTTTTTTTTCTATCCTCCTGCAGTAAGACTACTGGTCCAAAGAAAGCGAGGACGGACCAGTGAGGTTGCCCAGAGACCCCTCCCAGTCTTGTCTTTTCTTTTTTTTTTTTTTTTTTTTCCCCCCCCCCCCCCCCCTTCTTTTTTTTTTTTTTTTTTTTTTTTTTTCTTCCCCCCCACCCCCCAATTGCTGTCCTTTTTATCAGGAAGACTGACCCTCATCCTAATCTCATCCTCCGCATCTCAGATCAAGATGGAGACGGATCAGCCGTACAAAGCCGGGATGAAAGAATCTGAGAGATGTTTCTGTAGATAAACCCTCCTTCTTCCTCCTTCTGTTGGTCGTACTATTTTTAGAGCAACACAAACCTAGAAGCACATTATCTTTTACAGTCACACCCCCTACTATCCTTTTAACATCTATTTTTGGCTTGTTTCAAGTAGTTGAACAGTATAGAGAAGCATTTACACCTTTCACAAACTGGGAGCCAGCCTGTGGCGCAATGTTACTTTTTTTTTTTTCCTGTTTTGTGAATTCTGGGGGGGGGGATGTAGAGAGAGACTACACGAAATGTTGTACAGCGTTTGGAAAGAAAAAAAGGCTGTGGAGGAATTAGTTTAGATGAGAAGAAAAAAAAAATCGGTATGGAAACAAATAAAGCACTTGTCCTCTACAAATGAGGACATCATTTTTTCTTTTTCTTCTTTTCTTTTTTGGTCTAAACAAATTTGCTTCATCGAGAACCAAGTCTGTACAGTCATCGTACTGGACTCCAGTCTCCTGGTAATATCATCACTGTGCGCTTTTTACCCCAAGATGAGGACTGACGGCCGACACATTGGAGTGGACGAGAAAAGAGAAAAAAAAAAGGCAAAGGAAGAGATTTGTAGAAAAAAGAATGACGGACTTTGATAGGACAGAGACTTGCAGCTCACGCGTTTAAAAAGGAAAAAAAAAAGAAAAAAAATCTTGTAAAACCTTCCCAAAAAATTAGCAAGCAACGATGCAGAGGATCTTTTGTGTAGTTTATTTTTGTATTTTTAAGCTTTTTTTTTTTTTCTTCCTCCTGTGTGTATGTGTATGTTGTGTGCATTTTTAAAAGAAAAACATCACCTTTTTTTCTTTCCCCCCCCCCTTTTTTTTTTTTTTTTTTTTTAACTGTTCATCCCCATAGTTTGTGTTCACGGGAAGATTGGTGGCTGTTGAGGTTGCCACTATATTTTTAAAAAATCTTCATTGGGTTTGTTGTATGTTCTTGTTTCACAGATGGCAGTGACAGAGACAGACTTTTGTATTTGTTCCAAGTAGAACTGCAGAGGGTATAGGACTGAAGGGAACTTTGAAGTGGACCCAGGGAGGAGAGTTTTTACTTTGTTTACTACTCAGTGCTTGTGTTGCTTCGTTTGCCAAACATGGAAATCCCCGGGGTAGGAGGAAAGCTGACGTCAGACCTCCTCTTCCCTTTACTCTCAGTATCCCGATCAGTTGTCCTTCGCTTTTTATGCTCATGAATGTGGTGTCTCACTTTTCTTCTTTAATTTTTAGAATGGCAAATTATATTAGTAGACCTATTCTCCCTACCCTATTGATGTATGTGAATCCATTTAATAAATTTTAATTTTCTTTTCCTTCCACGGCTCTGTATTTCAGACTACAGATGGGGTGCAAGCTAACTGCGACCTGTAAAACGCGTATGTCTTTGAATGGGGATGTGTTGGGAAAGAAAGCTTACAGCCGGAGTGTACTCACTTGTAAATTAGTTCGTTCATAGAGCAAGAATAAAACTTCAACAAAAAAAAAAGGAAAAAGGAAAAAAACATCTTGGCCTTTTATATAATTACCTGTAACAAACTGTTTTTACATGTTGGTCATCTCTTGATTGCCTTTTGTGTCTTTACTTATGAAAGAAACAAATATATATATAAATATATATATATATAGTCTCCCTGATTGTTCTAATTTGCCTCTTGTCGAGCTGATTCACTGTAGGAGTCCGAATCACTGCTAGGTTCATCATAATCCAAACTTGTACAGGGAGGTTTCTGGCTGGACATGAGTGTGTATCTTCCTTGTAAGCGCCGGTTGGGCTGTGATGGGAACGGCCTGAAGGAGCAGGGCCAGGGTGTCCGCTTGCCGCCTTTTTTTTAGAAAAAAAAAAAAAAAACGGCTCGCGCCTTGGATTCAGTTTGTGGTTTTTCTCCCGATTTTCTTTCTAGAAAAAAAACATGCTTTCTCTTCATAATGCATTCATCATTTTTGTGCGTGTCGGTGTGTCTGTTGAACAAAAACTAGACATGCATGCAAAAAGCAGTGTATTTTTAGTAGTGATGCCTTAAGTTAGACCATAAGCTGAAGGTTCTCAAAAAGAAGAAGAAAAAAAAAAAAAAAAAAATTTTATAAGTTTTTTCCCCTCTCTCTCCATGTGGTATACAATTGTGTCCTTTCCTTCCACAGTACCTTTTTGCTGGGTCATTATTTTTGCACCCCTTGTTAGATAGGTCATCATCAGCAGTGCCGAGGTTTCTCTGAACTTTCCCTCCCGCCGGGGCGAGCGCTCCACTCAGCACTGGCAGGTGTCGCGAGCTTCTCTCGGCCGTTCGCAGGTTATCTGGAAATGTCCTGTATTTTCCAATGTGTGTTTTTTGTACTGTAGGGAGTAATGTATCTTTTATCATCAAAAAAATAAAAAAAATAATAAACATGTTAAACAGAAACTCTTTTGTCTCCGTCTCCATCTTTTTTTTTTCTTTACCTGCTGCAGGCCCAGTTCGGCCGCCCTCAGGAAGGGCTTCTCTATGTCCAGGTCCTCTTTGGCGCTTCCTTCGAAGTAATCGGCTCCTATTTCCTTACACCACTGCAGGGCCTTCCTGCGAGACACCTGTGAGCAGGGAAAACGCCACAAATGTGAACTACGGCGAACCGTATCGTGTTCTATCACAACGCTGTGTGTGGAGACTGTTGGAAACCGTTCCCCTTCATCTGAAAAACTGTTATTTCAGTATGCCCGGTTGGATTAACATTGTTTGGCAAAAAGCAGGGCAGCTATTTGCACTTTGGAAAGGCAGACGGACGACTTCCAGATGTCAAACCACAAGTTTTCCACCTTAGCGAAGCTCTGAGACTTCCTGGTGTCCATATTTTACAGTGCATATTAAAAAAAATATTATCCTAATATAAAATAAGGTTATAACATCACTTCATGAATATAACGTTAAGAATTATGTTCAAGTCCTATGCTTTTCTGGGGTTAAAAAAGCAAAAGTGACAGCAGATATTCATATTAAACCTGCGGCCCTGGCATATTTATTCATGTTTTTTTTTTTGAAGTTTTATTCATGTCATGTCTTGTCTTGTGTGACATGAGTGAATGTCAACTGACCTCTCGGTTGCTCAGGTCGGTTTTGTTGCCCAGCACGACAAAAGGAAAGCCGGCCGGGTCCTCCGGCTCGCCCTGGACCAGGAACTCCTGCCTCCACCCGTCCAGGGAGCAGAAACTGGCTGAGGACGCAACGTCGAAGACCAGCATGCAGCAGTGAGTCCCTCTGTACAGGGGCATGCCCAGAGACTGGAACCTCTCTGTGCCCGCCGTGTCCCAGATCTGACACACACACACACACATAAACACACACACACACAGGGACAAATGAAGAAGAAGAATTAATTCTTTGTGTCAGATGCTGAGCAGGTGGGAGATGACTTACCTGGAGTGAGATTGGCTCTCCATCTAAGGTGATCATTTTGGAGAGGAAGTCTGTTCCAATAGTGGCCCTGTACATGTTGGTGAAGCGGTGATTCACATATCTGTACATGAAGGAGGATTTCCCCACCCTAAATAAACACACACACACACACACACACACCAGTTCAAATCCCCCTCAATGCAACCCTTTCATTATTAAAGCAAACAATTAGATTCCCTCTGATGTCTCACTCTAAATATATAAGCTGACATATATTAATTTAACATGCATGAGTAAGCACATCAAAGTCAGGGTTTATATTTAAGGAATCACAGTAAGCGAAAGTGAAACAGCTGTCCACCGAGAAAACCGACGGTCAAACGTTTTGAATGTTAAATTATATATTAAAGTCACCCCGAATCTCCGATCAGGATGATTTTCAGCGTCACAGGATCCTTTCTGTCGCTCATGTTAACTTTAACTGTGATCAGCTTGTTCCTCCCGAGATTCCACCGACGGTGCCTTCAGGAGCATTACGACAATCCAGTAGCAGGTGTACGAAAACAACAACAACAAAAACTAAACGTACATACATACATACAAAGAAAATAAATTAAAGTATCAACTCCTCTTGACTTTTTTTTATACTATAATTTCTGCAAATTCCGAGTGAAATAAAAACTTCAGATAATCAGGAAAAATCGCACAGATAAACACCTTTAAAAATACTGGCAAAATGCACGTGTTTGTTTTGGGATTGAGAGGAAATATTTATTTTAATATCTGTAGGGAAAAAAAATTATACAGAAAACTTCAGCGCCTGTTTTGCATGTTTGATTTGACCTAATGGAAGCAAACACTTTTCGAAGACGTAAACGCAGCATGCTGTTTAAGGTGACACCTGCAGTCTTTTCTTTGGCCACTAGGGGGCGGCAGAAGCCTCAGCTAATGGATCCACATTGTAGCACACATCTGTCCTCGCTGTTAAGGCCACCAGATGGGTTAGTATTATTCTTCTAAACTGTACAGATTGCCAATTTTTTTCCAGTTAGTAAAGATCAGTTAGTGTTAATAAAAAAAAACATTTGAAGAAAATTCACAAAAAGTTTGCCCATATTGTGCGTTGCACTATTTTCCAGGTTTTCATCTCATTCATCTCATCTCAGTTTCAATAAAATTAGATCAGTTCACTAAATACAGTTAGATATGACTTATTTCAGCTGTAAAGTCAGTGTCCAATTATCACTCTGTGAAATACCAAATATCATATCAATTTACTTAACCAGCACAGAAGAGTATCGGGCAAAAACTTTAAGCTGGAACTTAAATAAAAAATGAGGATTTTGTTGACCGTTTAAGCTTGTCCTTCCAAGCAGAAAGATTATCTGAATACTCTGCCAGACCCAATTTGCTTGATCCAGGAAGGCCTTATAAAAATAATATAATATAATATAATATAATATAATATAATATAATATGATATAATATAATATAATATAATATAATATGTGACAGTCCACACTTTAAATTAATGGATTCTGATTTCACTTCAGAAGAAGTTTGATAGAAAACGTGACTCAGTGGGAAGAATATCATTATAAAAGTGAAGAAAAAAAACATCACAAGGGGGGAACTTTCACTCTTACATGTCGGAGTCATGCAGAGACTGAGAATTCTGAGATTACACAAACACAGTCACGGAAAAATGCCACGATGGCTCCGTCCCCTTGAAGTGCTCCAACTCTTAGTCAGAAAACACGCTCAGGATACACTCATGCCACACGGTCCATCACGTGCAGGTCTGGCTACTGTGCCAAGAGTACTAAGAAGATAACTAAGTCATTCATAAAATAATGATGGAGGACAGTGTGTGTGTCTGAGTCAGTGCTTGAGAGAGAGAGAGAGAGAGAGAGAGAGAGAGCAGTGGATCCGCAGCCCTGGGTGGAAGAGATAAGGCCTCCGCTTTCACAGAAGCCCGCTTCTTGGGAATTTGAAGGCTGTCCTCAAAGTCCGCCGGTGACATTCAACGTCGTCCATCACCCCGGCTAAGATGGAGGCCGAAAAAAACAAACCTCCCAACTGCCCAACAGCCCAACAGCTCGCCCCGTTGCGTCGTTTCAAAACGTCAGGGCCATAGAGCCAACTGTGTGTGTTGTGTGTGTGTGTGTGTGTGCGTGGGGGGGGGCTCAGGTCCACGCCTAAGGCCGTGTCTCTGTTTCCGAGGTGGCGAACGGCGGGCCCGTAATTCCTGGCCTCTTCCTCTCATCTTGATAAGCGCTTATCAGGGCGGCGCAGGCCTGCCCCCCCCCGACGGCGGCCGCCGCCACATCCCTGCCCAGCTGTCCAGCGCCGCCACGCAGGCCTTATCTCACCCTCCTCCTCCTCCTCCTCCTCCTCCCCCCCCGTAGGCCCTACGCCCGGACAGCAGCCCCGGCTCGTTCCCGTCTCACTGCGACATCCTCTAAGGAAGCCTCTCCACACCAGCGGGGCCCCCCAGGTGAAAAACACCGGGACGGGACAGTAAAATTGATACAGCTCAATCCCCTTTCTTATCTCTCCCGCCAGAGTCATGGCAAATTGGAACCTACCCAGTGTGCGGACGGCAGTTGGGAGCATTCGACTCACCGTACCCGCGACAAGTTTTTAACTCAGTTTGGCAAAAAAAAACTTGCAGGCTGACATTCATTAACTAGAATCTGCAGTCTTTTTCTCACGATTTTCCACTTATTTCCTGGTTTTTCTGCACAATTAGGGCAAACTCAAATAGAGTATCCTCCCAAAAAAAAAAAGAACTACCACCCACAAATTAGCCTAAAAGTTAATAATGATACCCCCCCCCCCCCCATGCTGGATTTTCTCCTCAGTGGTTCCAGAAATGATCCAGCGTTGCTCATCATCTCAACATCTGTGGACGTTGTCGTTTTCCTTTATTGTTTTTGGCCCGTTCAATAACTGAACTCATATCGCCCGCACAGTATATTCCACAGAATGTTCCATGTGTCTTGATACGGGGGAAATTTCATCCCTGCTCCACCATGTGTCCTGATATGCATCTGATGAAACGTTTGATTAGGCTGACATTACTGACCCTAACCTTATTCGACAGTTTCCCTCTTTTGTGCGACTGGGAGGATGTAGTAAAAAATGGGGAGAGATGTTTTTCTTTATTAAGAAAACAATGTCAGTTTCCTTGACCCTTATTATAATTTGCATCTGGTTTAACTGATGCAGTTTATCTGGGTTTCCTTGTCATGCGACTTTTTTTTTTTTCTTTTTTTTGTGCGCGCTGTGGGATTTTAAAGGATTAAATAAAAGGACAGCGTCAGGTGGGAGGAAAGGCCTCAATTCATCCTAACTGCTTTTCTCCCCTGATTTCCCTGAAAACTGTAAATGAACAAAGAGGCAGGAAATTTGGGGACCTGCTTTGACTAGCAAATGACGGGGACAGTGTTCGGCTTGTGCGTTGCCAGGCTGTGACCAGACCATATCTCTTCCCAATGATTGCAGCTCTTTTCTCGATTTGCATTACTGTGTTCCACTCTAAGCTTTGCCGAACCACAAAGAAATAGCGTCTTTGCATTTTATATTTGCTTTGTTCAAATGTCTGTCTTGCTTTTTTCCATGCGGGTTGGTCCTTATCAGGGCCCTGTATGCACATTTCATCAACAGACAAAAAGCAGCCCCGACCGGGACCTGGTCTGTGACGGCTTCTGTTTTTAACGTGTGGATCCCCGCACATGATGGAATCTTACTTGAAGGCCTATATATCACATCAGATGTTAGCTGTCCATCATCAAACTGTAATGGTTTGATAGCGGCCGTGGTTTGCTGCCGATATGCGTTTTATATGTGGCGCTTCCTCTTTGGAAATCATAAGAGGTACATACATGTTATCAATATAAGACAAGCAGCACCATAAAGGAAGAGCAGAGGAACTAAGATTTAAAGCAGACTCATCCACCCTTTGTTTCGTGCATTTGACAGCATTTGTTTTTTGTTTTTTCGATTTTTTCCTGAAAAGTTACGCGGTTAATTGTGACTCTAAATTGGCAGCTGTAAAATACGTGACATCTGCTATCCTGCAAAGTTGTTTCTCTGTGGACCGAAGGGGTGTGACTTTAAAAAAAAAAGTTGCCTCCAACCCCTCCCACAAACTGTATCTCCAAGCCCCTAAAGTTTGCTGGTGGTTGGAGAAGTTGCTCTTGTAAAGCATCAGCTTTTTTTGGGAGGTATAGGCAGTCAGGTGGAGCCGTCCCAAAGTCCAGCCGGCTGTATGCGTTTTGGCCTCCGAAACCCCACAGTTAAGCCGCCCTCATCTGTGAGATCGCTCAGGTAGGTGACCTGTCCGGCGCTCCCTCTGGCCTTGTTCTTCACAAGGTGCCTGCATATGGCGGTATGGGCCAAATTGGATCACTTTCGGCCACTTTCTGGCTGCCTGACGACGACTGTAGAAACACGGAGATGACAGAAAGGGTATTCATTTGACTGTGCACATCTTCTTAACTTTGAGTCCAGCTTAAACCGCTTTTCATGATTTCTTTTGATTGATTTATTCACTTATTTTCACTAACAATATATCTCATTATAAATATGACTGTTTAAATGCAGCTTAGGGTTTTAATTGTTTAAATATGAAGTGGTTTTCCATGAAAAAAATACCTTTTATCCATTTAATTTAGTTAGATATATGAACTCTGACGTGAACAACCTACGCTATTAACCAAAAATATATCTTGAAAGATGCTATGTTAAAAGTTTGGAACGATTTCGACTCGCCACCTGTATTTTGCTTTGAGTTCTGTCCGAATGGTCACATTTGATCGGCCGTCCATGACCTGCAGTTGCTGTGTTCCCACCAGTCGTAGTTCTCGTCCAGCAGATTTCTATTAATCAGATGAGATTGAGGTCGTGTTGTATTTGTGGAGATTGATATATTTAGCGTTAATAATGCTGTTTATTAGATATCCTCAGACTTTATCAGATGCTATCGGCCTCCTATTTTCCCTCTTCTCTTTCCTGTAAAGATACTGAACGAGGGTGGCCTCGACTTTTTCACTACAATTTACAGCCCCATGCGGTGATGTGGAGAGTTTTCATTTTGTTGTTTTGTTTTTTGCTTGGGCCTTTACCTTGCTTTTGATATTCTTGAATAAATGTCTGAAGACAGGTGGGAAAATGTGATAATTTTTTTTGGCCACCAAAGCAGAGATTTTAACACCTGTAGTTTGTGTTCTGTACGTCCGCTAACCAGGGCATTCTTAGGACATAGTGTCAGCACTTTAACCGGCATGCCTATTATATCATGGCCACTTAGTGACCGTTTGGTCACTGGTTGCATCACTACATTTATAGAGCCATTTATTTTTAGTTTCTACTTTCAGCCGCAGTCAAATGAGGATCCTAGAAAAGGAAGTTTGAAAAAGCCTGCTGTCGAGCGATCTTGTCCTGATAACTTCAAGTTTCACTGGTTGTTGTGAGCTAAAGGGCTTGGTGATAAAGGGCCTGCCTCAATCAAAGTCAGAGCCTCCCTCTCTCATCTGAATTCTCGTATTGTGAGAAGGGTGAAAGTTCACAAGCAAAGGGGTTTTGGTCCAAACCAGTCAATTTAAACCAATATGGATATTCTTACAGATAGCTTTGCTTCAGACTGCGAACATGGAGGATTCATCGGAGCAGTCCCATTGGGCGTCTCCCGCTCTGCTCAGTTCGGACCCTCTGGCCGCGTTCACCTCTGACCCCGGCCTGCTGCCCGCGGGAGACGAGGGCGAGGCCTTCTTCTCCGGCCAGGACCCCGACTACGCCAGTCTGCCCTCGTTTTTCCACAACCCGAGCCACAGTCGGGCTCCACCCACCTACAGACACAGCTCAGGTGAGGCCCAGCATCTCTTGTAGCAAACCCGGCCAAAAAAACATCGGCATCTAACGAAACCTCGTTTCCGTCCGAAGTCCGGCAGGTGTTCGGCTCCCCGGGCCTCTTCAGCAACCTCCAGCTCCTGGACGGGCCCACCACCCACTCCCTGAGCTCGGCCTACAGCCCCAGCGTGTCCACCTGGAGCGGCAGCCCCCTTTCCAAAACGCTCTCCCACACCCCGACCTCGCTCTACACCCCCGTGGTCACCTCCTCGTTCACCGCCGCCGGGGAGGGCCGGGAGAGCCCCCGGCTCCAGGAGGCCCTCAAAGCGGAGCGCCTGAGCCCGCTGAGCGGCTCCGGGGCCGGCGGCAGCTTCCTGAACCTGACCCCGGCCACGGGGAGCATGTACACGCCGTCCCCCCACTCCCACCCGCACATGCTCAGCCCCTACGGCTCCTACATGAGCGGGCCGCAGGACTACGGCTCGGCGGCGCTCTACTCCGGCGCCGGAGGCTGGATCAGCCCCTCATATTCTCCCAAACTCCGCAACAAGATGAGGGCCACCACTCCAGGTGAGACACACAGCATCTTCCACGAATTCACTTTCCATACGACGCAAGAATCAAATCTCGGGAAGGCTTTTGAAACGGCACTTTGTTGCTCTTGTGGAGCTATGGATCATATTTCAATTACCATTATTAATAGATGTAGATAATCTGTTGTTATAAAACTGTTCCAATTGAATTGGATCAGAAGAAGTTAGACCTTTAGGATGGTTTACAATATGCACACAGGATTAGGACCAACTTAACTTTAGGACAACTGAGCATCTGCATGTAGAAAAAAACAAAAAAACAATAGCTAATTTTGCCCATTTGTGAGCGGTACATTTTGAGATATTGCAAAACCTTAGATCCACAATAAATTTTTTAGAGTTCAGAGAGCATTTACGCATCGTACTCATCCATCCATCCATTATCGTTCCCGCTTTTTCCCCTAATGGGGTTGCAGGGAGAACTGGAGGGGTACACCCTGGACAGTTTGCCAGTATCAAATTAATTGATTAACCTTTTAATAAAAAACGTATTTCTATGATTTTCAAAAGAGGCCAGAGAGTGCGTGAACTGCGGAGCCACGGCGACGCCGCTGTGGCGCCGGGACGGAACGGGCCACTACCTGTGCAACGCCTGTGGGCTCTACCACAAGATGAACGGCCAAAACAGACCTCTGATCCGGCCCAAGAAGAGACTGGTACGACCCATGGAAAACCATTGCGAAATGCTCAAATATGCTCCGAGGCTTCAAATCTGTAATTATTTTCTGCTCGTTCTCAGATCGTCAGCAAGCGTGCGGGTACCCTGTGCGCCAACTGTCACACCAGCACCACCACCCTGTGGAGACGCAATGCCAACGGAGAGCCAGTGTGCAACGCCTGTGGACTCTACTTTAAACTGCACAACGTGCGTCACGCTTTCGCAAAAGGCTCAATCTTTTTTCTAGTAAACCACAAATTCTCGTCCAGGATTCGCCCTCATGAAGCGTCATTCCTCTCTTCTTTTTTTTTCCAGGTCAATCGGCCTCTCACCATGAAGAAGGAAGGCATTCAAACGCGCAACAGAAAAGTCTCCAACAAGAACAAGAAGAGCAAGAAGGCGGCCATGTTGGAGTCCTACTCGGACATGGGTCAGGCCCCCTCGCTGGACGACGCTGGGCCCTTTTCCCTCGGCCCCGGGGCCCTGCTGACCTACGGCCACACGCCGCACCTCATCCCCACGCCGTCCAGCGGCCTACCATACCCACACCACCTGAACACTGGCATCGTGCCCACGCTGGTGTAGCTGGATTTCCGGCGGGAAAATCGGCGGGATTTTTTTTGTCTTCGTCGTTTCGGATGATGGACGGATGTTATGCGAACGGAGATTTATTTTCACTGTATCTTATCAGACGGAATTACGTAAACATTTTTGTTGTTTTGCGAAATGGCAGATAAAATCAGTGAGCTCACCATGCTTGTATACACACTGATAAGGGGGCGATCTTTCAGCTGTAAATACATAAAGATGTATCTGATTTGATGGCTGAATGTGAATTTTCAAATTCCTTTTTTTTTTTTTGTCATTGGTGATGTGAAATTTTTACATCAGTTATGTGTTTTTGTGGGTTTCTGTAATGTATTTGCATACCTGATGGTGGAGAAAATAAAAAAAAAATTTGACTCACTTTGACGGACTAACGAAGGCCTTTGTTTTAAGTCATTTGAATTCTCTGCTTTGCAGCCAGACCACAGCAAAGCGTCCTGTGTGGTGGTATTGTACTCCTCTGCCCAGGCATAGTGATGCCTTTGTCCGGGTAGCAGCTCCGCTTTGACAGTGTAATTGTACATAGCGGCTATGCAAATAACCCGTTCAAAAGTGTCAAACATTTAACCAAAGTGAAACACTTACACCTGGCAGTTGATGAACTTGGAATGTTTCCAACAAAAAATGTTGCTCAGAAGGTAATGTTTGTATTTGCTACTAATCATTTCAGATCTTTCAGAAGGGGATTTTGGCTTGAATGCTTTTCCCATTCTCATGCCATGCTTGACTGCAAAAGTCAGCATTTGTATTTATGCATAGCAGGCATTAGTAGCACTATCTTTAATGACATCACAGGTCTTAATTTCTTTCAAGGGAGAGCCAAGCGCTGTGATGCAATGTCATTCCAAGTCAAAATACTTTATTACAAATGTTTTTGAACTGAAAATCAGAGTAAAATTAGAAAAATTTGGTGGCACGGTGTTATGGTGGTTAGCACCATGGCCTCGCAGCAAGAAGGTTCTGGGTTCTAGTCCCAAGGGGAACCAGGACCTTTCTGTTTGGAGTCTGCATGTTGTCCTGTGTCTGTGTGGGTTCTCTCCGGGTTCTCCAGCTTCCTCCCACAGTCCAAAAACCTGCATGTTAGGTTAATTGGACATTCCAAATTGCCCTTCGGAGTGAGTGTGTGTGGTTGTTGGTCCTTGTGTGTCTCTGTGTGGCCCTGTGATGGACTGGTGGACTGTCCAGGGTGTACCCCACCTTTCCCCATTGACTACTGGGATAGGCTCCTGTACCCCACGACCCCATTAGGGAATAAGTGGTTCCGATAATGGATGGATGGATGGATGGATAGATGGAATAGATGACTATTCAGTGACAGTACATTAATGTTGCAGCTGCTGCGGTTTGGGCTCATGAGCAATACAAACAGATTTGAATATTCATGATGAGCGACCGCTGTTTTGTTTGAAACACTTGGCTGAAATCAGGCACACTGAAGCAAACTGTGGAACATTGTCAAACTAAAGACAGCAAAATTCAAAATACTCCTTTAACATTGGGTTTATTTTATCTGTATTTACCCAAAAGGCACCTTCCATCCATTTACTCGTCCTATTACATCTCGTAATTCTGTAAGCCATTTTCAAATAAGCCAGCTTACTGTGATTGTTTTCAAGAATTCACAACCTACAAAGCAGAGAGAGCCCTTTTAGATGAATCACACTTGTGGTCACCTCTCAACAGATTAGATTAGACTACTGACTCAAAGTTTCTGACTGGCATTTGCTGCAGAAGACAAACAAAAAGAACCTTAGGTATACCAAAAAAAAAACGTTTAATTCAGCCTAATGCCGATGCCATTATCCTTCCAGGCCCCTTTAAAAAGCCACAGAGTCAACACAGCTCAGAGCCGTGTGTGTGTGGAAAGCCTTTTTTATGCTGAGCGGCAGGGCTGGGGTTGCTCTCTCAGGACTGGTAGATGGTTGATAAGGTATCACTGAGGCCACAGACCCTAAAGCATCCACCTGCTTTTGGCTCCGCCACTCTCACACCCCCCTGTCAGTTAGAGGGCCGGTTTGTGCTTTAGGTAACAACGACACACACAAATATCTCCGGTGTCATCTGAGGGGTTTATCTCCAGGGTTTATTACGAGTATCGGTATTGAACAAATCGGTTTCAAAACAGTCAAATTTTTGGCCGAGCAAACTTCGTTCGGTTTCATAACCTCGCGTCAGCCATATTCACGCACTATCACTCACATCTGCCGTGTGCGTTGTCATGGACGATTGTCTATGCTTCGCTGCAGAATGGAAAGGAGAAAATAGACTTTCATTTATGCATTTGGTTTCATGTTGCAGAGTAAAACATCTGGTTAGGCCACCCACACACACCACTCAGCAGATTAGTGGTAAACCAAGCATCGGGGAGTGTTTTTTTTTTCTTCTTAACAAGACTTTTTAAGGCAGCTTATGAGCAGTCAGCCATTACAGCACATCACCCCGTGGGTTCCCAGAGGACCTCAGTGATGGTAATGAGCAGTAATATTGTTCATAGTGACACGACGGGGTTTTATCATCAGGAGAAACACAAGTGCAATGTAAGAGAAAAGCAGAAAAATAAAGGATTCAAAACGTGAAGAAGAAAGAAAAAAAAAAAGGTGATGTGGCAAGTACATCCATAATTTATCCTCAACTGTCTCTATCTGCTGTCTATCTGCAGCAGCTGTCAGCTCTGCTGCTGGGGAAATGGCAGCAAATGACGGGGATAGATTAGCAACCACAGGCCCGCTCCATTTCACTCGCAGGGCCATCCGTTAGCGGCCTTCTCCCTCCCGCTACTGTATTGTATTGGTTTCTTTCCCCATTTGTTCTCTAAAGATCCCCGATAGATGAGGAACAGTCCTGTCGACGCGGTGATAACCTGAGGTTGGGTCGTTCGATCGCCCTGCGTTTCTTTTTCGGAAAGATCAACATAAAAAACCCACTGAACCAGTTCAAAATAGGCCAGGTTCGTGTCAAAGTAAGATTTTCTTCAGAGATAAATTGGGTGGGAAAAAAATCAAATGCAAATACAATACTGCTGTTTGGAAAAGACGCTTCTCATTAAAAGCTTCATATGCCACACACAGACATGCTCTATGAATATAAATATATTTATATGCATTTACACACCTCTCTAGTGGTACACAAGCACCCCCACATGGTAGAAACACAACACTGCTGCTCCAACCGACACTCAAACAGGATGTTTAGGCCCGAATACTGTTGTGAGAAGATAACACACAGCTTGTGTGCAGTTAATATTTCCATCTACACAGCTGGGGCACGTTTCAGTGTCACAGAACACAAAACTGACTGCTATGACTAACTATGACTAATTTGAACGAATTTATTTAGAAGTGTGAGAGTCATTTCCAATTATGTGAACGACACATGCTGATGCATAAGAACATATGTGATGTTTTTATGTGCACAAAACCTATATATAACCCTGACTAAGAAAACAGCCTCGATTGCAAAACGATTATTGTTACTTCTTCAAAAGTGCAATACACAAATACAAAAAAAAAACGGGACAGGCAAAAGCATAAATGAAAACAAAAAAGCTAAAAATGAGGTAAGTGTGTGAGTGAGGGATAAAAGGAGCATCCAATATCCTCCCTAAAATATTCTCATGCGTATACATGTTCATGCAAGCAATCAGACTAAGACAAATCAGGACAAAAATAGAAAATCTGAACACACACACACACTAAACATAGCTTGTTTAGCAGAGGTTATAACAGTTTTTCATATAGAGTAATGGTCTTCTCATCATGTGTAGGATAATATGAAAAAAAACAACAACAGAGAAACAATAAAAATATAAATAGGTTTATTTTTTTCTTTAAGCGCATCTACAATTCCAGCACAGGCACCAAAAGTAGCAGAGCGTTTACACAGTGAGAGAAAAAAAAAAGAAAGTAAGATGCTCTGTCAGCTGTCAGTTTTTAAGACATAAAAGTTGGTCCTTGGGGAATGCACGGAAGAAAAAAAAATAAAATAACAAAGTTCACCAAACCAGCTGAATATGTTTTGCCGTCTTTTAGCTTATTGGGTTTATTTAGAGCACTTCAAAGCCTAAAGAGTAAGACCATTTTACAATTTACATACTCTGTGTTAAAAAAAACAAAAAACAAAGCTTTGGAGGAATTATACAAACCCTGGCAAGATTGATGGAATCTCACTCTTTGGAGGATGCTTATCCAGCTTTCTCCTTCTATAATTGAAAACGGCCATTTTACCAGATGATGACCCATCTTATTACAGAAACAAAAAGAAGAAAATCAGATATCCATTTCAATGAAAGGTCCAGAAAACAGACTATGTCTCAATCTGTTGAAAATTTTGAATTTCAAAGAAGGTGCATGACAAAGCTCCATCCTGCAGAGCTGATCTGTCAGCCACAAAACAATAAATAAGTTTGAAAAAATGTTGAACGATTGAATTATATCGTCATTCAAGACAGAAAAAAGCAGATTCTGTCAATAGATCATCTTCCCTCTACTTCATTTTTATTTTGTCTACCCGTAATATGTTATTTATACTTCGAGCAAAAATATGCTCAGCTTTTTATTGTGTCATGCATCTTTTTTTTTTTTTAATCAACCGAAAGAAAAGCTGAACCAACATCCTCCTCGTGTGGAGACTCCATAATTCTTAAACAGGGCTTGCAGTAAGTCACCAAGCTACATGTTATGGTACTCCCACTATCTGCTTTACTGTAACGACGCCACGAGCTGTCAGTGCACAAGCAGACGGGCTTTTTCATTTGTTTTTGTTTCTTTTGATGTAAACATTAACTACTGATTTATGCTTGATTTGGCGCGGCGTCACATGCGGCGTGCCGCGACCGGCGAGCTGCGGCCTCTTCACCGTTTCTTAGTGAGAAGAACGCCGAGGAGCACTCCGGTGAGCAGCGCCACTCCGACTAGCAGCCATTTCCTCAACGTCTCCTGAAACCTCCTCGCCTCCGCGGCGGCGTCTCGCCCATAAATCTCAGCAAAGCAGTCCTGCAATCAGAAACGCAGGGAAATCCAACAGTTCAACACGATGACATCTCTACCGGATCAACAAATCGTCACCACCGGAACACTCACCCATCCTCCCTGGCTGTGGATCCACGGGCTGATTTGCTCGTCTAGGTAAGTGGTCATCCAGTCGGCGATGCGGGAAACCAGCTCGCTCATGTTCTTCTCCACGCAGTCCACGCACAGCACGCCGCCGAAGGCGAACAGGCCCACCACGCGTCCCCAGTTGACCCCGTCCTTGAACACTTCGTCCAGCACGCTCTTGAAGCTGTGGTAGGCCGTGTCGGGAGTGATATCGAGCTGCATGGAAAGATCGCTAAAACCCTGCTTGAACAGGAGTTCGAACTCGTCCGCCGAGTCTTTGAGGGCCGATTTTACAGCCTCCACGCCGCCGCGCCGGGGGCAGGACCTCCCCGGCCGGCTGTTACCGACGGGCAGGCCATTCACTGGACCTGGCTTGGCCTGGTCTCCCTCGGCCCTTCCGCCAGTATTTTCTGGCCTCAGTAGAGAGTTTGGATAGTCTCTCTGAGACAACTTGTAGCTTATGTAGAACTCCACGAGCTCTCTGTTACTACACGACATGGTGCGCACGCTGAACCTGGAACAGCCAGCAGACCTAATCGGAGACCACGGTTTCTCCTGCCATTCCTCCAACTTTAGTCAGCAGTCACATCGGAGCTTGGGTTTTTTTACGTTGCAGCCAGCAACCTGAAAACACAAAGGACATGGATTTTAATTGTGATGATCATCCCCTTTCGGCAAATATTTTAGCTGTAGTTATGAACATAGTACATATTAAGTACTGAATACCATAGATATGTGGTACAGAATCATTTTGAGAAGTTGAAAATAGCCATGTGCCCATAATGCTTAAAATCAAAGGGAATGTATTTTCCAACAGTCTGTTTATATATTTTCCCATTGAAAAATAAAAGTCAACATAAAACTAACAGATGTAGAAAACTGCATAACAGCTGAGAGACAATCCGATATTAGCTTTAGCTAACCGGCTGCGTTTGAGCCTGAACGTTACGTGGTACAGTAGTGACATTAGCTGGACGATATATAGTGGGTGGGATAGGAACGTCAAGCGGACAACTTGCCATATCTGACAGCTTCAGCCACAAGTCGCGTAGAAATCAACAACGTTAGCCTCACTGGCTAACTAGCTGCTACGCCGTGCACATGAAAAACACCCAAAACTGCTGACTACGTAAAATGGGGTTGCTACGAGGCAATAGTCACGAGCAGTTCTACTTACTATAGGGGGTTAGTATCCGGTTTAAAACACAGTTATTAGGATATCAAAAGAGGCGGTTGGGACTGCAGACACATCCTAAACATTTTTGCAGCTGCACGCTCTGTAGCCAGCACCGTGATGATGCACGCTGGCAGCTGGCCAATTGTGCGGCTGTCCTGGCCGGAGGTCCCGCCTTTTCCTGCTCCCGCACCAATCAACGGCCGACAAACCACTCCCGGAACTCCAGAGGCCCATGACAGGACAACTAAATCGTAAAAGCTCCACATTCTTTAAAAAAAACTAACTTTTTAATTTCATGGCAGGGATTCAAGTTTTTGTTTATTTTTAGATCAGCCTACAACTCAAAACTTTTACTTGTGTCAAAAGTACACCTAGTATCCCTGTACAACGATGAACTCGAGTATTCTAATCGAATATAAATGGAATTGTCTGTGCTAATGCAGAGCTTTTAACTTCAGAGAAACGGGTCTGCCAGATTCCTTACTTATTATGTTCACGACACGTCAAACTCTTTTCACTTCTATGAAAATCCCCTTTGGAGATTATCTAACTTTAAAAGATCGTAAGGCCTCCACAAAATGACATGACACATTTTTTGCGCCAACCTTTCTGAATAATTCCCAAAAAACACTCATATTTGATAAACGTTTTTATTAAAACATTAACATACCTTTACCATAACTTACACTATCTAGATGTGTACTAACAAGAATTCATTGTCACAGCTGAGGATAAAACATGAACGTAGGTAAATCATAAGAATAATTTTGTATACACCAATCAGCCATAACACCGTAGACCGGACCAAGTGCTGTCCGGTCAGGACATTACTAAAAGATATCAGATAGTGTTCTGCAGTCTGTTACTGGGATTTCAGTAACATATTTGGAGCCTTATGGGTTAGGGAGGGGTGTCTTTTTCTTATGCTGAAGATGGCTGCTCCTGTTAGGGAATGATCTTTTAAAAAGGGAAGAGGGGTTGTGATCAGGTAGGAGGCAAAGCGTAAAAAAGTAGCATCTATATGAACGTCGGGCGGCAGGTTTTCCCCAGACGGACGTTGCTTTATCTGCCAGTGTTGGCAATGTTTTGGCTGGTCGGCGTATATTTAACAGTTCATCTGTGAATAATACAAACTGAAGAATCTAACAAAGCGGTCGCCTCATACGTATGCACGGTCAAAGACAGGTGTGGTATAAAATGCGCACTATTCTAACTGTTCTCCTTCCATCTGAAACTGGACGGGCAGGGACTGTGGAAATGCAGTGACCCACGCCATTTGAACAAATACTTGCCTGACACGTAGCCGTGTCGGGGCCAAGATTTTTCTGTTAAAACATTTCTTCCATTTAAAGTAAACGGCAGCTCAGCGAGAGCAGACCGCTTTAGTGACCTAACACAAAGCCAGGCAGGCGTTCTCTTTCCCGTCGTGCAAAGAGCTGTCCGTCTCCTTTGGGGCATCCTCAGACTCCTCACATTGAGTTTCTTCAGTCAAGTTTACCAGCTCTTCGGACTCTAAATTCTTTTCGGGGTTTGTGTCGACGGTCGCCTCCTCAGCGGGGGTTTCTGGGTCAGAGTCTGAGTCGATGGAAATGGTCTCGGTGCACGTGCTGAGTTGTGAGGTGTGGTTTGGCGTCTCGCTCTGCCTCTTCTGCTCGCTGTTCGGGGCGGCCGATTTGAAGCCCACCGATCTCCGCGACGAATTGATGACAGGCTCTCCCTCTGCGAAAAGCAGGTTGTGTTTGACTTTTTTCAGGGCGTGCATGTCGAAGCCCAGCAGCACCGAGCCCTTGATTGTCTCGCAGTTTCTTTGACACGTCTTTCGCTTTAACGCGAAGTGAGCCGCGATGTCGGACTTCCACAGCCACAGGCTGGTGGACAGTTTCTCTTCTTCCTGTGGGGTCGGGTACGGCCGCACGTTGAAGTAGGCGGTCAGGAAGTTTTTCCTGGCCTCGTACGTCTTGTGCTCGTAGCCTCTGGGGTCCAGCGCCAGGCCTTCGCAGTCGGCTTTGTTTCCGCAGAAGTTGCCCGCCAGCTTGAGGTCTCTGAACTTCTTGGCGTTGGGTCCGACATGCGTCGGCAGCCGCCTTTTGAGCACGCCGGCCCCGGCTGAGTTCAGGGACAGCGGAGACTTGAGGCCTTGGCTGGCCTGGCTCCTCCCCACGGCTCTGCACTGCACCAGATGCAGTGTGATCGTAGACGCCACCATGTTGCTGGTGTACACGCCCAAGCAATGGATGCACTTGTAGGTCATCTTCTTTTCCACGGGGTGCATCGTCTGGAGGACTTGATGTCGCTCCCTCAGGTGCATGGACAGGGCGTCCGAGATGGGACCCTTGAGGATGGAAAAACACAGTGGGCACACGGTCTTCCCGACGTCACGGTTGTTGATCAGGGAGACAAAACCTCTGGGTTCGCTGCGCTTGTCGATCATTTTAGGGGGAGGGAGTCTGCCGGCGGGCGTCAATTTCTTCTGGACAGGCGCAGGCGGATCTTGACCATTCACCGGCTCCTTCATGTTGAAAGTGAGGACTGCGAGCTGAACGTTACTGATCTTCCCCTGTTTAACGGTAAGATCAAACGTGAGAGGCGCTGCACCTGGCGGTCCGGCAAAATCCTCGGGGTGGGCCTGGGCCGTATGCTCCATGATCTTTTCCACACTGTGGAAGGCCGAGTGGCACTGTGGACAAGTTAGCCCGTGAATCAGCATGTGGTTGAGTAGCGTGTCGCTGGGCAGATAGCGGTTGCAAAGCAAACACTTGCTGGTGAAATTGTGGATTTTCATGATGTATTTGGCCAGGGCCCACACCTTTTTGGCCTTGTGCGCGCTCTCGAAGTGAGCGCTGTACAGGTTTTCGGGAAAAAGCTCGTTGCAGACGGTACAGATCTTCCACTTCTGCGTTTGTGCCGTGTTTATGCCCGTCGCACTATTTTCAGCTATGGTGTTGCTAGGAGCGATGACACGCATGTGACTGGTGGGGATGAAGGGCTGATTTTTCACACTAGGGGCAACTGGCTTTAAATAGCCAATTACGGGATGTGCTGTTGAGCCCGTTCCAAGAGTGCGGCCCCTGCTAATGGTCAGGGGAGCCTTGGGAGACATGGCCGGTAAGGGCTGGGGCCTAGAGACGACCATGTTAGCATGTCCAATCATGGTCGTTACTTGTGAGCCGATGTGTTCGTGGTACTCGATAACGTGCTGCACCAGAGCCTCGTAGCTGCGAGGGGAAAACTGACACCGCTTGCAAAAAAGGTTGTTACCGTTGACGGAAACGCCGCCGTTTTTAACTGCTGAATCAGCAACCCTACCAAGATACGGTGAGACAATATGCTGAAAATGTTCTCTGTAGATGTGTCTTCTAACCACATTGTACAGGCTGTCCCGGAATGTGCATTTTTTACAAAAGTACATTGCTTTCTCCATTCCATGGTCCTGTCTGGCACTTTCAAGATTTGCACTCCTTCCCAGAATAGGTCCCTGTGGGCTCCTATAATTCTGTCGCACTGAACTGGGTATGTGGAATATTTTAACATGCGCCTCCAGGGTTCTCTTGCTGGCAGTGAATGCGCAGTATGGACAGTTGAGCAGGACTTTACTCTCAAAGAGTTTCCTGTGTACATTGCGGAAGTGATTCTTGTAGCCCGAGTAGTATCTGGAAGAGAAGGAGCACTCTGTGCAGCAAAACGGTTTCGAACGGTATCCCTAAAAGGACAGAAAGAAACAGTAATCAAAACATTTGATCTGTGCACAGGAATATAAATAAATATTGCAATCTGGATGAAGGTTTACCTGTCTTTTAGAATATGATGGATTCCATGCGCAGATGTCAGAACACTGAGAGCCTTTTACATATTCATCATCTGGACAAAATTCTTTAAAACCCTGTTAAATAACAGAAAATTAGAATAAACTTTGTACTTTTAGTAAAGTATAAGCTGATGCAGTGGTTAATTCTGCTGAGTCAGAATGGAGTTGAAGTGCCACCTCCTTAAGATTTGGGATGAAAGAAAAAAAATCAAATATCCACTTAGGACTCAAGGAGCAAAAGCATATAGTTAAAAATACACTTACCTCTGCTGCCTCTTTGCAGAACTCCAATCCAATGTCCTCCAGGGACTTTTTGACTTGTTTCCTGGCTTTCCTGATCCTAGTGAGATTGTTCACTGGGAGCTGGTACATTTCTCCTGTCAATACACGGAAGGACAGATGCTAACGATGGCATGACACTTCAGTTGTCACAGTGAGGTAATTCATACTAGTTTACCAATCGTAGCAATCATAGGACGCCGAATTAACATGTGATGACACACCCATTAATGTTGCAGTGAGCCAGTTTCCATCGTATTTACTGCTGCTGACAATAACTATGCTAAAGATGCGCTTTCTGCGGACTTGTTGAAATGTAAACCTTCCTTTATAATCCTGGTCTGTGTTATCCTTGTATAATAAACGACAGAGCAGATATGTGACCTAGAAGTCATCACTGTTTCCAGTTCACTCTTGCTGTAAGATTTGACAATAAACTATGTTAGCTTCGCTGGCTAGCCACAGTTAGCATTGTTGCCCACTGCCCACCAACTATTTTTTACATTTACTTCCCTGCTTGATTTGTACGTTGTTATAATCACTCACCGTGAGATGCGTCTGCAGACTGCCTTTATACAGTTTGTCTCACGATATAAAGGATCAACAAAGAAGTAAACCAGTCGGGATGTGGGGACTGAGGATGTTCGCTTCCCTCGACGCCGGTGCTGATGTTCAGCACTACCACGGCTAGCTCGTCAAGCTAGTTAGTTAGCTATCACATCGACTTTGCGGCAACGTCTGCCTGGAGAGGAAAGTAATGGAGCGATGTGTGTCACATGAGCGGAGTACACTTTAATGCCGATAAGTGTCCGAGCCAGCTACGGTCCTCGGAGTACTACTGTAACTTGCGCCCGAGGTCAGGCCAGCATGTTGGCGAAGCCGTGTTTTACAAGTGATCAACACGAAATCCAAAATGGCGACAACACAAAGACGGAAGTGGTTTGTAGGGAGCTCAACAGAGGCAGCATGACACAAAGTTCCAGTCGTTAAAGTATTTTATTCAAAATGTAAAACGCTAATAGCAATGCAAATGCAATTCTAATGCAGGAAACAAAAAAGTATCACAAAGAGGCCATAGGGATTCTGCTAGCAGTTCAAATTAAGTTTTAAAAATCCAGTGGACTTCTTTTAATTCACATTAATAAGCATTTCAAGTCTGCAATGTATCAAGTGATGCCCAGCAAATGTTTTCAAAAACAGCTGCTACACTTTAATTGAATTTGAATTTAATTGAATATACTTTATTGATCTCCAGGGAGAAATTGACTGAATGAAGTAGTCATTCTTATTCCAGTGGCTCCATGACTTCCAGGACAATAACTCGAGGCCCTGTCATCACTAATTTGGTGACTGTCTTGTAGTCCAGGTCAAGAACACATTTGCCATTTACTTGGCATAAAAACTGCCGCACCTAATGAAAAAAAAACACATTTAAGTGTGTATATACACATACATATACAGTATATGTGTGTGTTGTTTGTCCATTTGAACATAGCACCAAGTCAAAAGAGAATAATGTGATTTTCTCTCTCTAATTTTGTGTGAAGTTATCCCACCTTAACTCCAGCAGCTGCTGCAGGGCTTCCAGGATCAACAGCTTGTACGTAACAGGGAGCCATGCCTCTGACAACAACACCCCATCCCAAGGTATCCCCAATCACCTTGGATCGTCATGAGAGACATTACAAATGTAACTGTATTTCTATTGTTAACACAAGATAATCATATTTCATAGACTACGTGCAGCCTTTGTTTGATGCGCACA